TTTTTTTTTTTTTGCTTATCGAAAAAGTAGATTAATAACAAGTATTTGTTATATGATCAAATGTATCTAGCATATGTCAATGGAAGAAAAGAAGGCATAATCTACGAGAAGCCATTGGTTATGGGAGGAAATGGGAGAAACGAAGAGGACTTCGCCACATCTTCTTCTAATTGGGGAATAGATTTAACCGACGAGATGAACCTCGTTATGAAATCGTGCATTGGCTCCATCGAATTTGAGGCAACAAAAGAACTAAAAAGGCTTGGTCTTGAGAGGTAATAGTCCTTTTCTTTCTATCTTATCGCAAATTTTGCTGTTAGATTGTCTAACTTTTACTAGTTGTACTTCTTTTACGAAAAAAATCTATACTTATCCTATAAAATGTCATACTTTATCCAGACAGTTTCTTAATTAATTTGGGACAAGTTTTTGCCCCTTTAAAGTATATTTCTTGCTTAATTATGTGTGCATGATCTAGTTTTGTAGCTAGCTCATTGTTTACAAGATCATAAACCTATATAATATATAAATATATAGGGCCGCATTCTACGGATGGTATAATCCGTATCATTCGACTAAGGCAATGGGCGAAATGGTTCTTAACGAAATTAGAGAGAACGTACCCGTGCTTATCATAAGACCAACCGTTATCGAGAGTAGCTACGAACAACCTTTTCCAGGATGGATACAAGGAAATAGGTACGAATTCTTCGTTCTATTATACATTTTGTCGTGCTTAATTACATAATTTTCTTGTGCTCATTACAACCTAAACACGCATTGTTAGAATGTTTGATCCGGTCATTATTTCTTACGGCAAAGGACTACTTCCGGCTTATCTAGCCGATCCCAACGCGCATGTGGACATTGTAAGTACACAATTTTTTTTTCATCATAAGTTGAACAAAAATTATGTAATCACTTTGCTTATGTTCCCCTTTTTTTCATGTGAGTTATTCAGGTTCCAGTTGATATGGTGGCTAATACAACAATTGCAGCCATTGCGAAACACGGAAGCATAAACAAGCCACGATTGGACGTGTATCATGTGGCGACCGATTTTGTGAATCCCTTGAAATTTTCGGATTTCTTCGAACACATCCACGAACACTTTACCCGGAACCCATTGACCTCGGGAGACTTTCCGAAAATGGAATTGTTCGATGATTTTAGCGATTTCTCTATGTACGTTAGGGATGTAATATCCGAACGCACCGGATTGACGAATATTAACGCGGTTGAAACAAATGGAAACGCGGTTCAAAAGATCCGAAGATTGTACAAAGCGAAGGTCGCTTATGCCGAGCAGTTGTGCAAATTGTACGAGTTCATAGGGTTCTTCAAAGCCAGGTACATGATATTTCGTAACATAAGTTTGTACGTTATGTAAGAAAGTATGAATGTCTAACAATTAAACAACCAAACTTTAACTACAACATTGTGGCTTTCGAATTTTATTTGTGTTAGGTTCCACACCGGAAACACCCGTAAGTTACTAGACGAGATGTCGAAAGAGGAGCAAGATAAGTTCGAAATCGATGCGACGAAAATCGACTGGAGAAAGTACTTCGTCGACATTCATATCCCGGGCGTGAGGAAACACGTGTTGAATAACAAAATGACAGTCTGAATAACGTGTAATTGTCATGTAATTAAGCAAATAAATTAATAAGATATTGTGATTAGTATGGTAATTAATTAAGGAGGAAGAACATGTATATGTGTAAGTGAAGGCTACGGTATTGCTTTTTTCCCCTCAATTATGTAATAATGTAAGTTGTAACAACACTCTAAAGGTGGTGTTTGTGATTTCTAATTAATATTGTGTGTGTATTACATAATTCGTAATATATGTCATGTTGTTTGAGCCTTGTCATTTGTCAATTAACTAGATATATACTTTTGTTTTAGGAATATTTACTGTGATAGGGGATTGTATAATTTGGATAATGCTCCCATACCCACGATGATACGTGTTAATATGCCCTATATAATTTAATAACAGTGTTTCTTTTTCAATATCACGTGTATGTAGACAACATGCATTTGTGAGGTTAGACGTGGCCAAAACCCGGTTTTAGTTCGATTTATGTGAACCAAAACGGATCTCGGTATATATACGTGTCGATTCATTGAACCGGCGATTTTCAGTTCAGGACCGATCCGTCGGTCCAGGCCAGTTCAATTTTTTTTTAAATAAAAAAAATGGACTGTTGAATCTCCAAAAGCTCTAAGTAATCCAACAGTCTATATTTAATCTTTTCCGCTTCTTCTTTTGGGCCCGACCCGCTGGTTCATATTTCATTTTTTTTT